TAAAGTGACACTAAAATCAGCCTGTAAGTAAAACTGCTCCTGAGGTGGAGCTGTTAAATATGGTAACATATATTTTATTCCCCTCCAAAAAAATGTGTAACTGATACATTTATTTGGATGAATGAATTTATCAGTTTTAAAAATGGCCCCTAATATTCTTACTTATCAATAAGTTATAATTTTACATTCTAAACTAATGATGATATATACATAATAGGGACAGCGCCTTAAGAAAGCAAAAACAAAAGAACCAATATTTTATTTAGGCCCTAAGAGCAAAATCTAACTTCTATATAACCATATTTATCAGCAATACCTTTAAGTACTAACTTTCATAGGGAATAGTGCTGACATATGCCTGTATTTTCACTCTGGGAAATTGTATTCTTTGAGGTGATCTCACCCACTAATAATCAGTGAAGGCCATGAAGTTACTCCTAGTGACTTTTTCCCTTTGAATCAACTGGAAACAGTGGCTTCAAACAATGTACCGGTAGTCTTTTTTTTCCGTCTATGTTTGATAAATCATAACTATATAAAATCTTCTGTCACTTTTAGTGAACTTGAGGTCAGAGAAAACTAAATTTAATAACCCATAGACCTGAATGTATCTCTACAGTACATCTTGTTTGCGTGATTTAGGCTCTAAGTGTCAAGCTGGTTTCTCTAACTTTATTTTTCTACAGAATAACGTTATTTTGGTTTGCTTAGCATCTGTCCATCATTTACGAAAGACTACATCCGCTCCAACAACATGTTTGATATAAGATTATTATTTTTTTATATTCTCTAAGCTCATTATTGACACAAGTACAAATAAAAGCTGCTATACAATGGCCCTGCTAATCCACACATTTCTATCCTTGACAGTTTTTTTGGCTCTTTGCCTCCCAAGCACTGTTACTGTGCAAGCATTTTACAGGAAAATTACTACGTGTGTTTTATGTCTACTGCTAGAAGCTGAATTAGTTTCTTTTGTTTTCAGTTGCTCCAAGGAGAAATCAATGAGCCACCTTCTTTTGTCTGTATGCCCTGCTCCTTAGAAACAGGTGTTTTCACTCATATTTTGTATTTGTTTTACTCTCAGGTGTGATGCGATTAGTGGAACATGAGTGGGTAATGTAGAGGTCACTCCCAAAAAATGAACTCTATGGTAGAAGCAATAAATTAATATAAATGCAAGTAAAATATTAATAAAAATTGCAGAAAATGTACTTTTTAAAGAGGAATTAAATAAAAAAAAATAGTTATCAGTAAAATATTTAATTATTGCTTCTGTACTTTAATTTATGATAAAAGCACAAATATTTACCGTGATGGTGGCTAAAGCCTGAAATAGTTTTCAACATTTAAGGTCCTATTGCTGCCTATGAACACTACAATAAGTTTAAACAATATATCCTATTCCCAGTGGTGAAAGTTTTCCTAATCAAGATATGATTCAAACAGTGAAATGACCTGAATATGTTCAGTGTTGTTAAAAAAACAGCTGGGAGAGGGATTTCTCTCATAAAAGCTTTAGTTTTTATGGCCCCTACTATTAATGCACAGAGGCAGAACTAAAAAAAACAAAAACCAGAAAGGAAAACATGCTAGGAGGGCACTCACTCTTTTCCAACTGGGTATTTTTAAAAACCACACCCGGTATTTTTACACCAGCAATGAATCTGCACGCGTCACTCTGGTAACTCTGGTTTGCTAAAGGGTTTGGCGTTGTGGGAAGAGGCCGTTAGCCCCACACAGAGCTTCTGTGTCAGTCCTGCCTTCTAGCAGTACGCTTTTGGTCAGAAAAAGAGCAGTGGGCAGCACCCATCAACAAAACAGCAGGGTGTAAGCTATGCAAATCATTGGTGGGTGCAATGTCCCAGCCTGAACAAACTAAACACACTCCTTCTGTCTTGCATACTTAATTTCCTTAAATGTACACTGGGAAGAAATTTTTGTTGAAGCAAAGGAATGACTGTAGTGAAGATATGGTATGAAGTTAAATATTAGTTGTATTTACCGGTAGTATAAACAACATGTCATTTCACCATATTACGCTAAAGGTTTATATCTTTACTTGATTTTTTATTTCTTTGTAAATGATGTCCTCTAATTCTGGCTGTTACCCAACTTTTTGCTTTAATAAAATAGCAGGAGTGTTATGAAGGGTGTGTAAGACAAAAGAAAAACTGGGCCCCCACCCAGAAATAACAAGCCAGGCAATAAAACTATAAACAGTGATTATTTTACAGTAGTTATATAAGTTATAAAAACTTTCAACAGATTTTTTTTGTTGTTGTTGCAAAACTTAATTGTGAAGACTTTCTAAATTTAGTTAATGGGGCCAGTAGTATACTTTTACAGCAACTGTAACAGAGAAAACATCAGTGGTATGACTAAATCCAGTTCAGCCATAATACTCTTAAATACATATTTTGAATAAATAATATAACTCTGGTGAAATCTAAAAATATTAAAGAATGTTTGATTAATAAATGGTGAACTTAACTAGAAAATTACTGGGCGAGAGCAGACTGATACACAGTGTATATGTCGTAAAGGGTTTGCAGAGATTGATTTCAAAGGCGGGACTAAGAGGGTCAGCCTCATCAGGTTAGAACAAATCAGATAACTAAGGGGGTGACGCAAAAACTTCAAGTGACGTGCTGTGTTTTTGTCATTTTTTTGTCCATGAAACATGTCAAGCTGTCAAAGAAACTCTTCTGTGAAAGATTTCTGCTGGTTTTGCCAAAGAAATCTGGGGATACAAAGTGTGCTCCTTAGTACGTTCTTAGGTTTTATTGTAACATTGCTCTGTTGCGGTCTCCAGCTTGTTTTTATGCTATCCGAAAAGCACTACTGCATTATGGGTAATATGGCGCTGAGACTCATGCGTCATATAATCCTGCCTCCTGCTCTGTGATTGGTCTAGCCAGATTTGCCAAGTGTGTACAGACTGAATTACGCTCCATGTAATTCACTCTGGTTGGCCAGGCTATATAAATATAGCACCTTGAAACACGTTTTTTCTTTTCCAGCTAACTGATGTTTGTTCCTTGCTTTGTCTCTTTAATTCTTCCTTGTTAAACCAATCATATAATATTACCAGAGATGCCAAAAGTACTGATACCTGTGTAAAAAGGTATCAGTACTTAAGTAAGGGTAGTTTGTACTTAAGTACAAATTAAGTACAAATTTGAAATTAAGTTTTTGCCTTAAAGAATATAGAATACCTTCTAAAAACTTAAATGAACAGAAAATAGCTTAATTTTCCTCTTTTGTTCACTGTTTTTGTAGAGAGAACATAAAAAATACTGGCTCAGTCTAGCTTGGTTCTAAATTAAAATTTCAGCTTGAATAACATAGAACTTGAACTTTATTGAGAGCAGTATTGGGAGCAGGGGCCTGCCATCGTGGGGCACCCAGGGAGCAATCAGAGGTTAAGGGTCTTGCTCAGAGACCCAGATTGGCAGTCTGTGGGAATGGGTTTTGAATTTACAACCTCAGGATTCCAAGCCCTCTGCCCTAACCAATAGGCTGCCACTCATTTGACTGAGCTGAATAAAGGTCCTTCATGAGCAGTTGAATACTTTTTAGAGCACTGCTATTCACTGCATTAAAATTGCCAATAGAATTGGAATCGAAATAGAGATTGGAACAGAAGCAACATGCAAAATTTAAATTGAATGAAAGAAAATGGATGAGGAATGTCTAAGAATCTGATCCATCAAGTATATTTTTTTCATTCTTCTGTCTGTTTATTTTATTTGCATAGTTGATTTTCCCAGGTTTTTTTTTTTTTAGAGGTTTATTATGTTGTTATTAATATGTATAGATGTTTCAAATTTGGAGAAAGCGGGGAATAGAAAAGACTGATATTAATTCTCAATTACAGTAAGTGAAATAAAAAGTCCTCAAAAAGTAAACATTCCACCAGAATACAAATACAGGAAAAAAAGCCACGAAAGTAGAGTATCTGAGTATTTATACTTGGTTATTTGACACCTGTGATTGTTGCAGATGTTAATAGCCTTAATCATTAAGATTATGGTTAAAGTTTGCCAGAGAATAACTAAATAAATATCTAAATGCTGCACTTGATATTCTGCTTATTCAAACCCTAAAGCAGTTTTAAGATTCCTAGGTGTCTCTTTTCAAAAGTTTAGGGTGCATGAACAAAGATGCAGGAGAAATGAATTTCATTTGCCCCAGTTTCCTGAGCTGCTCTAATTAGAGTTGGAAATTAACTCTACCAGTCTTGGCAACCATCTGAGAGCATGAAGCAGCCAATCAGTAAATCTAATGCACAACTCGCTTTCTTTGTCTCAATGCACTGCCACGCAGGAAGCCCCTTATAATGAGCATACATTTTAATTTGTAGGTCAAGGATCTTTTGATGTCTGGAATAAAAGTGAGAGATTTTTCCACATTTTATTCTGCATAGCCTTTGATTTACAGTATCCAGGTAACTTTTGTCTGGTCTTAGTAAGCACATTTGTTTAATCAAATTAGTTCTAGGTATGATTCCAGTGTTCTGGAAAGTATGCAATTTAAATTTCTTGAACATCTGTTTGTGCAGTACGTCCATCCTTCTGTCATTCTAGCCTCCCCCCCAAGTTATCAGGAAAATAGCTTAGCTGCAAAATTGAAGAAGTGCGAGGCATTTGCGGCTGAAAACCAAATGAATGTACAACAATCTCTTAGAAAACTGCCATACAAGCAGCAATCCAATCCAATTTACTTTTCTTTTAATTCCTCTGTTACCTGTTTTATTGCTCTGTAGTGTTACTGTTTTTGTTCTGCATACATTATTGTTATACATTTAGCTTTATCAACCCATAGTTGTTTTATCTTTGATGTACAGCACTTTGTTTCAGCTTGGTCATTGGTAAAGCACTTTACTAATAAAGTTGATGATGATGATATTTTATTTAAAATCTTTATCAGAAAATGGAAAGTACAAATTTCGAAATGTTGAAGTGGTCTTAATGGGTTTTATTTTTCGTTCTCCACAGATGGTCATTTTACCGGAACTCCTCCATCATATGGCTACGATGCGGACCGAGCAGAGGAGCAGCGGCGGCACCATGACATCCTGCCGTACATCGACGACTCACCATCATCCTCTCCACACCTCAGTTCCAAAAGCCGTAGCAGCCGGGACACACTCTCCTCAGGATCACTGGAGTCCTCCAAGTCGGTCAGTTACAGCTGTTGACCATAATACCAAAACTGTGGGATTAGAACCCACAGTTGTGGCCTGAAAGGCTTAATCTTTTCTTGCAACAAACATATTTTCATCAACTAGAGGACTCCCATTTTGTCTTAAATGTATTCATGTAATGTTTATTTTTTCCCCACCTTGTAACCACAGATGCTGGGACCCATGAAAGAAACAAATGAACCTTTAGAGATTGGTTACTTTTTGAGAACATCATATTATCTCTCATTCCCACTACTTAAAAAAATATTCACTGCCTCCCATCCATCCTCATTTTCCTCTTTATCTGTGGAAACAAATGAATCAATTAATTAAAACACATGATGGTCTTTCTAGATAAAAGTTAAGCAGATGCCTTTGTCCAAAAAACATTAAGCATTTTGATATGTGTTTTAGAATGGCTTTGACGCCAATCAAACCCAGGTTTAAGCCTTTCAGGTCAGCCTAAAGCCCACTTCAAAGGTCAGTTGAGGTGTTTTATAAAAGAAGTGAGTCAGGAAATTGTCTTTGTACCAAACTGAAAGATTGTGGTTCTCTACTTCAAAAACACTTTAAATTTTAAAATGGAAAAACATTCTAACTTTTATATTTTTTATTTAAAAGCTCAATGTATTACATGGATGCATAAACACCTGCATTTTATTTCAGTGTTAAATGCTGTTTAAAGTTACAGATTATAATTAAAAATGTCTCCGGACCTTTACTGGTTGTTGATTTTCTTTATTCGGTCCCTGCTGAGTTTTCATTGGTTACCCTTGATTTAAATGATAAATATCAAAACATAAATGCTTTTCTTACCTTTCTATGATAAAATCCTAAACTATTGTGCAATATTTTCCATGTGTATAATATAAGACATTCTGTACATCCAACAGCAAATGGTGTATTCACTGATTGATTTAAATGTTTGATCTGCAAACTTTTTATTCTGACAAATTTAGGTAATCCAAATGCACTTATAATCATGGCAGCATAAATACTCCCTCCTTTTTAGGATCCCCTCACACCAAATTCAGACTTAATTTTAATACTGAAAATCATTCAGAAAATAGGTGGTCTCCCCAGGGTTGCTGAGAGGTCTCCAAGAGCTCATAAAGAGGGCAATGGGCTCCCTGTGTGACAGCTGTTCTGAGCATGCTCAAAATCTTAAGAATGCTATGATGGTTGATTTTTGTTGTAGAGAGAAATCTGCCTGCAGGGTGTGCATGTTTTGGCCCTATACCTTCTTCACAATGCGGTAATCAGATAATCTAAAGCCAAACGTATTGTGCTGGCCTCATCCCAAAGCAAAAACCAAAGGACTCTGGTGTAATTTGTTCTAATAGTGTTATTAGGATCATAACAACGATTGCTGCACACAATCTCATTAAGGAGCTGCAACAGCAATGAATGAGGAGCTGTGCTGTAGCCCTTTGCACAAAAAGTCATTATGCCCAGAGCTCCCAGTGGAGTAGGGTGCCCCACTGGTGAGAAGTACGCACTCCCCCTAACTGCACATACAGTACAGAGTGGTTTCTGAGATTCCAGGTGAGTTTGTCTGACCTGAATTTCTCTCACTGTCAAAGGAAAACTCTGACATGGCATCTGGTGAGAAGGGGAGGGTGCATCTCTTAAAATAATTTCAATCAAAATCATTCAAAAATAGTTGCATCATCAGAGGTGGTCTTAATTTAATCCAACTAGGGACCTAACAGAGGTAATATGCTATATTTCCCCAAGCTATATAAATCAATAGCTTGTGCAAACATTGTAGCTGCAGGGTTGGTACTATACTGAATGGTTCTTGTTAAAATTATTTGTCAGCTGTCTGACTTTACAACATATTTACTACTTATTCACACTAATGTTTTTTGTTTCTTCACTGCATCTGTTGGGGTCTGAGAGTTCTTCTCTGAGAGCCAGTTAAATATATGATGAAACACTAAAACAATTCACCCTTAACAACTTTCCTAGTGAAACAAACTCTAATAAGCTTCCAGAGCAACTGTTGTCCTTTATTTGCCCTTTGAAAACTCCTCCTCAAACATGATCTCTGTCTCTTCCTGTGATTTATGTATCAGAGCCCAGACAGGCTGCGGTTGGCCCAGTGTGAGCTGATGGATTTATGATGTCACTGTGATGAGTCACCATTAAGGAGGATTTGCTTTTCACTAAAGTTTCCTTTTTTTTGTCCTTCTGTAACTCTTCCTGACATTAGAAAGTAAAAGGAGAATAGATGTAACTGATAATGAAGAGTTCAAATCAATGACAGCTTTATTTCTCAAACTATAATACTGACTTTTATCCAAGCTTTATAGTTTGACTGATGAATCTGCAAATCTAAAAAGCATCTGAAACTTCATTTTTGTTGCCTTTTATATCATATCATAGGTGAAAACATGACCTTTTTTGTTCAGATGACATAAAAAAAACATTGAAAAGATTTCCACTAAAAATCAAACTTCTGCAGAATCTGAATTCATGCGTGTTTCACTTAAAAAATGGGGAAAAAAGTCAAAATTTTTTAAATTAAGCGTATTTACCCTTCATTTTAGTAGGTAAATAAAATGATCTGCCGATGGAATTAGTATTTTTACTCTTAAAGTAAGATAATTATATAATATACCCTTGAAATAAGACAATTTAATTGTTTTTTCTTATTTTAAATTGTCTTGTTCCATTGGCAAAGTGTCTCACTTACCTCCTGAATTCAAGAACAGATGCACCTATTTTAAGAAAAAATGGCTTATTTAGATTTCAATTATTTTTTTAGTGTTCTAACTGAAGTGCAACACAGGATAAGTAGGACGCAGCCAAGCAAGCATGAAGATAGGAAGGTTAAGATTCTCTAATATTACAGATGGAAGAAAATGATTGTGAATAGATAAAAAAAAAATAGCATTACAAAATTGCTATTTTCTGTTTCCTTCTGATCTATTTTTGTAATATTATCAGCAGAATGTCACCTGCAATATAGGGCAAATCTGTAGAAAGTCATTTAACTCATCATTTAGATCAGCGGTAACAAATAAAAAATCAGCAGTGTCCGAATAAAGAAAATCATCAACCAGTAAAGGTCGGGAGACATTTTTTATTGTAATCCGTTACTTTAAACAGCATTTAACACTGAAATAAAATGCAGGTGTTTATTTATCCATGTTATACATTGAGTTTTTAAGTAAAAAATACAAAAGTTAGAATGTTTTTCTTTTTAACGTTTGAATTGTTTTTGAAGTAGAGCGCAACAATCTTTCAGTTTGGTACATAGACAATTTCCTGACTCACTTCTTTTATAAAACACCTGAACTGATCGTTTTTTGTTCTATTTTATGGCTTAATGAGAGAAGTGGGCTATAGGCTGCCTTGCAAGGCTTAAACCTGGGTTTGATTGGTGGCAAAGCCATTCTAAAGCACATATCAAAGTGCTTATTTTTAGCCTGGGTCGATATTTATTTTTGATTATGTCCATGGTGGGGAATCCTGCTTCACGGCAGTAGGTTGAGCCAAACACACTCAAAATGTGCAGGGTCATCTTTGAGCACGCCATTTCACTTTTCTTTCACTAGTTTACCGCACTTCTTCCAGCAGTCCGCACTTTCTCTGCTCTCATTTTCTCATCGTCTTCTCCTTCTTTCCCATCGCCCGGCTTGCCACAGGTTTGCCTGCTGCATCTAAAAGTAACTAACAGCAGCAATCCTGACTGACACATCTCGTTGGCTAATTTGTATCACTTGCAGCCTGGTTCCAGATGCTCCAGAAAGCTTTACCGTAATAAAAGGAGAAGCAGTGCAAGTGACGTTTAGAGAATGTCGTCAGACAACATGCAGTAATGTATAAATGTTTTGAATCAGGTTGGGTCCGGATCCGGACCCTGTTCCCCTAATCTCTGACCTCTGATTTAGATACCTTGCTTTTTTTTTTCTAAATCACAAGTTTCTTATGTGACGTTTATTTAGCCAGTGTGCAATTTTACCAGCAGATGATGAATATATTGGGTAACTAGAAATGTAAGTTATGGTTAATTACCATTAACATAATTAATGATTCTAACTATCTGCTTATTGACCAAGGTTCTTTATTCTTTTACCCAAGGTTGGACTTCTGCACCAGCTGCTAAAATCCAGTTGTCTTTCAGCAATTTAGTAATTTAGGCTATAGTTGTGAGTTTTTAACCACCAACCAAAGGAAATCGTCTCTATTCCTCGCAGTGTTAACACAAAAGGGATCGCCACAGTTTAAAATATTGGCACCTTTATTGGTTTATAATCCCTATTACAGTATCATTATATCTAATAACTGTGCAAACACTATAAACAGTTAAAGGTAAATGAAAAGCTAATAAAGGGAAAAAGGTTTTCTAAGAATAAGGAATGTTCAAGGTTTAAGGCTTGATGTATTAATGCATTTATGGTGTCCTTTAAAATAGCAGCAGATTTATGTGAACAACAACTGATGTAGAGATCTTAAATGCAATCAAAAAAGTGAAGCTTAATTCATTTTTACTGTGAATGGTAAAAAATGACTCAGAAATGCATTAAAATGTAGCAGCACTGGAGTAGAATGAATTTGCTCAGATAGCACCAGGAAGCCAGGCTACAAGGCGGGTTTGAGCTAAGAACAATGGGTCGTAAAACTCACAAAATGGCCGCCACTGTGTAAATGTGACCAAAATGAGGTAGCCTAGTGATAACAATGATAGCCAATCCAACCGTAGCACCGAAAAAAGAATCAAATCAGATCTGGATAAGCTTTTGTTTAGGTGTACAGTTTCAACCATGCAAATAGATGCCTCTAAAGATGCACCCAAAGTTTGGCTTATCATATAAAAGATGGATTGTCTGGACACTTTCTCAAGAAGGCCTCCGAGGTCTGAAAGAATGAATAAATGCTTCATTTCTCCTTTTTTGTCTTACAATGAAGCTGCTTAACCTTGTTTTTAATGTTTGCTATGTACCCTCATGTTACTCTGCAAATGCTGAAGCTGTAACACATTTTCAGTCATTGTCACAGTTAGTTTTATTTTCTTTTTAAGGTCATATAAGTTGCATTGGAGTGTAATAACCTATGCATAAACTTTTATCAGTATTATAAGCATATTTAGAGCCTACATTTAATTAGCAATTGAAAGAGTCAGTGTTATGCTGTTCTGAACTCTAAACAGCGTTATACATAATGCAGTACCTGTCAGAATCCTCCTCAGGGTGCTCATAGAAGAAGAGGATAATAGATAGAAATTAGACAGAGAGAGATCAGAGGGTTCCCCAGAAGCATAAACTTTCAAAGATGAGGCTCTGTTACATGAAGAGGAACAGACTACTGGTATGTTTTGTGCAAATTGTGTTTTAAATAAGTTAGTTTCAATTTACTTCAAGCTTATTGTTTAAAACGTAATTATTCTGCTTTAGTTCTTATGTAAAATATTTATTTAGTTTCTACTCCCCAGAAATAAGATGATACTAAGCTGTCTGGGATCATAAGAATCTTAAATGATCTACCTGAGTAGATGAAGCTAAAAGGGACTAAACATGTGCTGGGGGTAGCATTATCAATTTATTTGATGTCTTAAAATAAATTAAACAATTTAATCGTATTACAAAGACCAATAAATATTAATATAAGATTTTTTCATGTAATTTACAATTAGTAAAAAATTTGCCAAACAGGGATCAGACCGGGTAAAGAGAGAATTTGATATGTGGCTGATTGATCGTTTCATCATAACATATCATATAAAGCTTTAATCTACTTTATCTTATTGGTGAAACTAAGGTAAACATATGAGAGCAAAAGGTAGTGATAAGGTGTTATGAAGATCATAACATAAATATTAAGCTTTTAATGAGGTGACTGCACACTTTAAACTAGGTTAAGGCAGTTTGATCGATGCATTTGTAATTTCTTTTTTAATAACTGTTCTGTTTATACAAAATAAATGGAAGGATTTTGTATTCATTACCGGTTGCACAGATTTCACTGCAAACTAAATGAACCAAAAGTCAAATACATTACTGTATTCTTATCTCATTTTGATATCTATTTATTTTTTCTATTTTTCAGTAGGATAGCCCTACAGTTAATGAGTTTTTAGGGTTGGTAATGCATCAAAAGGAGTTTATGGCTCTTGAGTTCAGTTTACTGCAGAGGTGTCAAGTAAGGAAGTACAAATACTTAAAAATATGTTTTTTTTTTTCCCTTTAAGCAAATTTTTGTTATGGCTTAAGAAAAATAAATAAATAAATAAAAATAATCAGTTCCACCCAGACAATTAATTTCTTTGAGGTTGGACTCAGTACTGAACCAACTTGTTGTTCACCGTATGCCAAAATAAATACTTTTGTAAGAGGATTCAAAATTAAATTTGACACTGTTACCATTACTTATAAAACTCATAAAATGAAGCATAACAGAGTTATCATCCAGAATTGTAGAAAATGTTCCTTTAATAGGATAGTGCAGTATCAGTATAAGGTTTAAAGCATCTGTCCTTAACATTTTTTCCTTTTTATATAATTCAAATAGTTTTAAGAATTGTACTTTTACCTGAGTAAAAAGCTTCATTTGATTCTCTAACTTCTACAAAGGTTTTTTAAAACAGTAGGATTTATTAATTTAACTTGAGGAATAAATATTAATACTTTTGACATCTCTGGTGTCTCTGCTTCTACACACCTAAATTAAATAACAGAATTACCCCCTCAGATGTCAGTCAGGTTCTCCAGGATCCTCCTAATGACCTGATTATTTGACTCAAGTGTGTTAAAGCAGAGACGCATCCTAAAGGTGCAGGACACTGAACCTCGAGGGCCGGAATGAGGAAGCGTAGTCGCGTTTGCCTCATTGAATCATATCATGATCTCTCTGCATCCTCTGATATTGTTGTTTGAGCTTTAACCACTAACTGAAAACCACAGAAGCCATCTGTACTGCCCAAATCTGTATTCTCCAATTTCAATTAAGCATTATTTCTAGTAAAACCATAGTGAGATGCCTGTTGCAGGAGCTGCAGTCTAATAAAAGCACTTACACTGCTGGTTAACAACCACCTGTGTAATGCAGTCTGTTATAAGCCTAGAGGGTTTTTGGTGATTATTTTGAGCCCTAACAGTTTGCTGTTATCTACATCCCCGTCTATTTACGTAGTGGTCATGGAAACCGCTTTCAAACCTGTTAGCCCCCTCATTTTAATAAATGCATGTACACCCACAGACATCAGAGCTGGAAAACATGGTGCAATGTGTTGTTACCCCCGTTTTATGAAACGGTACAGAGTAATGTTTTTATTTGAAAAATTGACCTTTAGAATGCTACCAAAATAAAAAATGTTAACACCCCTCAGTGGCCCTCAACTCAAGCTGGAAATGTTGACTTCTAGTGTAATGCCATGACTTGATGCCCACTGTGTATTAGGTTCAACTGTAAAATTCCCTGACTGCTAAATATTTTATAATAATCTGTTAGCAAAGGAAAAAGAAAATAAGTCACAGAGGTTCTCGACTATCTGCAGACACAGAAACAGTTACAGACCTTTTCCCTAATAAACCAGTTGAATGATGATAACTCTACATGTGTTCTTTGCTTATAGATTAGGTTTGAATGTCTGAGAAGTTGCCTCCATCAGCTGAAGCCATCCTCTTTTCTTTAGTGACAAATCCTGCCTCCTATTCTACAATTCAGAAAGGTGTTTTACAGCAGATTGGCTCAACCAGTAAATTTCACTGATACAAATGTTTGAGGCTCCAGTTGTGTGAGAACAGTTTGGGGATGGCCCCTCCCTGTTCAAACATCGAACTAGAAGGGGCCACAGGGCACTGTGTATCCATGCAAGAAGCAATAACCATAAAAATGTAGATAAGTTGGTTTTTCTGTGGAAAAACTTGACTGATCTCGTCAGCCTGACTCTCCCTGAATACCTTCGGGGAGAATTGCTGTGGAGATGCTTTATCTTCCAACATGAATGTGCTCACAAACGTGTATCTGGAAGTACGGTCAGATATATTCCTAATTGTGCTCCTGCACCTTATGGAAACTCTTTCCCAACATTGGAACTGAAGCAGTTCTAGCTGCAAAGGGTAGTTTTATGTCATTAAATTTGATTAAATATTTGCAAAGACAAATACATTGTCCTTTGACAACTTAAAAAAAAAGTCTTCTTATCCTTCTGTATAACTTGCATAGATTAAATCCCCCCCACCTCCAGACTGGAGCCTGTCTTTGTTTCCCCTGCATGCACATAGTTAAGAACCAACATTTTTTTTTCTTCCATGGGAGAAACCCTGTCTGTTTGAGTTATTTCAGAATTTGTGGTTAAACAAGGCAGCCCGAGGAGTTTCTCTGTTGTTCTGTTTTCTCTCATGTCTGTGCTCCTCGGTGAGCTTTGACTCAGTTGGGGGGGAATGTTGAAGCAGCCTAAGATGCTTCTTTTTATTTTTTTTTCCGGATGTCTTTGTTTCATTGAGCATTCCTGCAAACCTTTCATTGTTAGCTATAAATTCAAAGCATTATCTATCATTCTCTAACCCTCTTATATGAATAAACAAGATTTTATTGGTCAGACATAAGATTGATTGTAGCACTTCTAACAGTTTTGTACAGTTTAAGCTATGTTGAAAGTTTTTACTAAGTTTGCGAGGCAAAGATTGACAACATTGTATTGATTATTTAGCATGACATAGATTTGTTAGATGATTTTTAAACCTTAAATGTGTTTATGTTCTTCACAGACGGAGTGTGACCTTGAAAAGGGCTTGGAGATGAGGAAGTGGGTTCTATCTGGGATCTTGGCCACAGAAGAAGCATACCTCAGCCACCTAGAGGCTCTGCTGCTGGTGAGAAAAGCTGCATCCACAATATCAGCCTGCTGTTAATTAAACTTAAGCCAATGTTCTCCAAAATCAATGAGAGAGGCCAATGTTTTTCAATGCTTGTTCTTCAAACATTTCTGCTTTGCTTCACTCATCAACATCCATTTGAGAGAGCAAGTTCCTGCAAAGAGTGTTAAAAGATCTTTGTTCATGGGTTTTGGCCTGATGAGGAGCATTGAGTCGCTGAAGACATACTTTTCAAGGTTTTTATAAACAAAAGTTGGAGAGTTATGAGAGGAATCCACATGTCACATCTTTGTCCACATGTTTTTAATTTTTCAGCAGACTAAATAGAACTTCTAATGGCTATCTTACAACAAAATGTGTCTTTAAACCAGCTTTCTGTAAAGATCAGGTTTAGGAATTTAAAAACGAATCATTTTTGGTTTTGTCAAATACTTCTACCAGAGGGTTGTGCGTATCTACAGCTCCTCCAGAGGTACCATGAGCCTCTTTGGTGCTTTTCTGCTCACTCGATCATCACGTTTCGGTTGACAACCATTTCTTTCTGTTTCCGTTTTGGAAACAATTCCTCCTTATTCCTGATACTGACAATTTATTTTACTGTATCAATGAAGGAGGCTAAACACAAATAAATACCACATCTTTCAGATTTTTGTAAAACAGCTTAAAAAAAGGGTTTAGTTTCTTTAACTTAACAGTTAGTGCTGCTTTGTGTTGGTCTATTGCATAAAATGGCAGTTAAGTTCATTGAGCTTTGGCTTCTTAACATGAGAAAATGTGAAAAAAGTTAAGGCATTTAGTCAATGAGCTTCTATATATATATATATATATATATATATATATATATATATATATATATATATATATATATATATAT